GCCAGTCACTATACACGGCCGTGTGACATTTAACACGGTCATGTTTCCTGCATGTGTCTACACACGACCGTGTGAATAAAATGAACACAGCCGTGTTCATCTGAAAGGCAATTCCCACGACTACACACGGCCGTTTTATACGTGTCACACAGCCGTGTTAGTGTTCACGGCCATGGACTCAGGCTGTGTTTCTGCCACGGCCGTGTGTTGTTCTGACACGGCCGTGTTGGCGTCGTCTTTCTGCAACGTTTCTTCTTCCCAGCCATGTTGTCCATCTACATTTTATTTCTCACGGCGAAAAAGACGACGAAAAAGATTTCTACTCATTTGGTAAGTAAAGTATACAATATATTTTATCTTCTATCGATTATATGTTGATATAATTTATAGTTTTAGTGTTTTTTTAGGGTTTTTTAAGTTGTGTGTTTAGTGATATATGATGTATATGTTTTACGTTGATTATATAGATATTTATTTTTTTGCATATTTTGTTTGAATCTTATATTTATAATTTTTAAGTATTGTATTATTATTGTTTTCTTAGTTATATTTTTTTTAGTATTCTTGTAGGTGAAGAAAATATTTATCGAAAATATGATTGAGAAGGGAAAAAATATACAGTTAGATCAAGAAGATATGAGAGAAGAAGAATTGGAGTTTGAAGATCCCGATTATTTGATGAAAGAGGAGGATATGGAAGCTAATTTAATAGATCATTTGTTATACGAAGATATGGTAGATGATGAGGAGATGAATGAGGATCTATCTATTATGGTACGTCAAAATTTTGACGATGAGATGTCTTTGGAAGATTCACACGAAAATGATCTCACAAGTATTACCGGGTCCGATACAGAGCTCAACGATTCTCAAACAGTGTACGATCCATCTACCAAGTACAATCCATCGTTTGTACTCGGGATGATTTTCAGTTCGAAGAAAGAGTTTAAAGAGGCCATCCAAAATCACGCTATCTTGACGATGAAGACTCTATGTTTTGTCATCCAAAATCACGCTATCTTGACGATGAAGACTCTATGTTTGGTCAAAAATGACAAAAGAAGAATGTATGTTCGATGCTCAGTTCAAAGTTGTAATTGGAGAATAAATGCTTTGAAAGTGAGCGATCAATCGACATATCAAATCCGAACCTATCAATCAAAGCATGATTGTATGTGTGATTTAAATGTCAAGAATGTAAAGTCTTCATAGCTTGCGAAAAAATACGAACCGTTGTTTCGATCGGACCCTTCAAGACATGTGAAATGATTTAGAGTTGATGTTTCCGAAGATATTAGATGCAATGTATCCTATCAACAAGCATATAGGGCAAAGAAGAGAGCACTCAAAGCAATTGATGGTGATGCAGAGGAGCAATATGGAAAGTTGTGGGATTATGCTGAAGCACTAAGGGAATCGAATCCGGGATCACGCGTCTCGATGGAGTTGGAAAGGGAGTTTATAAATGGACGATGACGATTTAGCAAATATTATATATGTTTCAAATCGCTTGTTCTTGGATTTCAGTCCGGTTGTCGACCTGTGATTGGGGTCGATGGATGTCATTTAAAGGGTCCGTGTCAAGGTATCTTGTTAACTGCGATTGCAATTGATCCCAATAACTAATTATTTCCTTTGGCGTATGTTGTTGTTGGGAGTGAGACACGTGAGGCATGAGAATGATTTTTCATGCTGCTGAAAGATGATCTAGATATAGAACGTGATGAGTCGTATACATTCATATCAGACAAACAGAAAGGACTTGTTCCTGCTATGGAAAAGATTTTTCCCGGATCAAAAAAAAGATTTTGTGTACGACATCTTTACGGTAATATGAAAAGTGCTGGATTCAAGGGACTTGCATATAAACGACTTATTTGGATGGCAGCAGATGCAACCACGGTTCCCGAGTTCGAGGATGCTATGAAGGAGATCAAAGAGTTAGATGAAAGATGTGTAGATTGGTTGGCCGACAAGCCACCTTCACAATAGTCGAGGTCATATTTTGCGACATTTTCAAAGTGTGATATGATTTTGAACAACTTGTGTGAATCTTTCAATAGTATTATATTGGATGCAAGAGATATGCCAATTTTGCCTATGTTGGAATGGATTAGGAGATATATGTTGTCACGGCTTGCAAAACGGAGAGAAATGGCACTTCGAAAATGGGAAAATATGCGATTTTGCCCCAAAATAGTAAAAATCATGGAAAAAAATATTCAAGAAGCTTCATCATGTGTTCCAGTTAAGGCTGATGATTGGACCTACGAGGTGGGTTGTTCCGATGGCAGCAGGTTTGTAGTGGATATTTTGAAGAAATCGTGCGGGTGTAGAAAATGGGATTTATGTGGAATTCCTTGTCGTCATGGAATGAGTGCCATCTGCGGTCAACAACTAGATCCAGCGGACTTTGTTGATGAAGTATACAGTGTTGAGAACTTCAAAAGGGTTTATTCATATTCTATTGGCCCCATGAATGGAGCACAACTGTGGCCGAAAACTGGTTTGCCTCCACCATATTATATTTTGTAATAATGATTTATACTTGAAATTATATATTATTTGATTTTTTGGTTGCCTTTTGCATGGATATTTTGCGCAAAATAAATTTTTAATTTTGCATTTTATTTTTAATGTAGAGTAATAATGGCTGGGGGTAAGGGTAAGGGCAAGAGAATTCGAAAAGATGCAAGTTCTTCAGCGAGAGTGGATACAACAGATGATTTTTTAGGTTTTGGTGAATTAGAACACACCGAACGTTACGAAAGATTTAGGAGCAGATCTTTTTCAAAGAGCAAATATATCGATTGGAATGTTTTGGCTATGTTGGGAATGCGGGAGGAGGTAGAGGCTTTAGTTTCGGTTGGAGCGTGGGTTCGTTTTTTTTCAGATTGTGGAGCCGAGTTACAAAAATTTAACTTTAGAGTTTATGTCAACTCTTGATTATGGATCGGTGAACTATAATTACGAAAAACCTAAGACTTTGACGTTTAGATTACTGGGAAAGATGTTTTCGATATCATTCGCCGATTTTTCAGTGATAATGGGTTTATATGACCGGGACTTTGTGGAAACGGATGACTTCGAAGCCTTGCCTACTCTTATGCCTATTCAATCTGCCGTGTACTGGTCCCAAATTAGCACCGAAGCGGCTTACAATTCTGCACGTTCTAAGGCATCGACTCTTCGGTACCCGCCACTACGGTATATACATTATATTCTAACTCACTCACTTTCCGGTCGGGGCGAGAGCACTGGGGTAGTTTCGAATATTGATTTATGTTATCTTTGGAGTATGCTAGAGCGTCACCCTATAAATTTGGGTTTTATGCTTGCTCGATTTATGATATATCAGGTCGAGGATGGCCGTTTGGAAAAAATCTCTCTTGGTCCGTATGTTACTCGACTGGCAAGGGGTCTTGGGCTTTTAGAGGAAGAGATTGAGGATCCGATTTGTGTCAGCAGCCTTGTGGTTTTCGAACGTTGCAGATGATGGGTATGGTTAGGAAGGTGACGAAGGGAGAAGTAGATATATATGTATTGATTGATAGGGTTGATGCACCAGGAGATGGGGTTGATCAGCTTCCAGGTGATCAGGGTAAGCCAGAGGGTGATCAGGGCAGAGGATGATCAGCCGCACCGCATTCAGATACCCATTGACAGGTCAGCCATTGATGATTTACGCATGGATATGCATCGCCGTATGGACGAGTTGCAAATGGAGGTGCATCGCCAGATGGATGGCATGCGGTTGGAGATGAGATCTTCATTTTCCCGTATTTTTCAGCATCTCTCCATTCCTATTTCACCAAACGATGGTGCTCCTCATGCATCTACACCGGGACACGGCGATGTCACAATTGATACAGATGCTTTGTTTGCGGATCATCCAAACAGAAACGAGGACGTGTAGCTTTCTGTTTTTTTGTATTTTGCGTGTAATATGTAATGATTTTTTGTTTTAAATATGTATTAATCCTTACAGTAATCTAAAGACTGATGTTTAGGCTATTTTTACTAATTTTAATTTAAACTTGAAAATTGGTTAAACTTCAATCGGTTAAATTGGTTAATCGCCAGACAGAAAGATACACGCCCTTATGAAACTTCACACGGCCGTGTAAAATACGGGGGAGATAACAGAAATAACGACGCCAACATGGCCGTGTCACAACAACACACGGGCGTGGCAGAAACACAGCCTGAGTCCATGGCCGTGAACACTAACACGGCCGTGTGTAGTCGCGGGAATTGCCTTTCAGATGAACACGGCCGTGTTCATTTTATTCACACGGCCGTGTGTAGACACAGGCAGGAAACATGGCCGTGTTAAATGTCACACGGCCGTGTATAGTGACTGGCGGATGCTGACTTGTATGTTCACGGGCGTGTTGTATGGTACACGGCCGTGTTCATTCCAGGTCACCTGCCAACTCGACTCCGTTAAGTCCACGTCAGCATTTTCCGTTGGTTTGTTGACGGTGGGACCAAAAAAGATAAAGTTTGATTATATTGGGACAAAAAAATTATGAGTTTTGGTTATATTGGGACTAAAATTGATAAAGATTGTATATTGGAACCAAAAATGATGAGTTTTGGTTATATTGAGACCAAAATTGATAAGATTTTTATATTAGGACAAAAATTGATGAAGTTTGGTTATATTGGAACCAAAATTGATTTTTTTCCTAAATTTTATAATTGAAAAAAAAAAAAAAAATTTCACATAGGAGTGACCGGCCCAACAATGTGATGTATCATAACAAATAATTATTTTTTATATTAAATAAAATGTAGATATTTAATTTAATTTAATAGTTTTGAAAAGTGAAAACAAAACGATGAAGAGTACTATGCCTATCTAAAGGAGCAGGACCTTCAAAATGTATGCAGGCAGCTTTCAAAGGCCTCAACTCAACGATGGCCCAATAAATTTTATTGCTATTGATCGATAACCCAATTTTATTTTATTTTTTAGTACCCAGAAATTTGTACATATTCGAAACCGACCCCACGGACACGAGAAGAGAGCGTGGATTTTGCATTTCACCTCTGCTTGTTTCGTGATTCTCGGACGACCCATTTCGGAATCGCGGTTGAATTTCAGAAAGCCACCAGTTCCTCAGGTGACTGGTGAGTTCGTGGATAGGCTATTTAATTTATGGAAATTTGCTTGTGGAAAATTTAATTCCATGCGTTGTTGAACTTCGATACGTATGTTTTTCGGCGGAATCTGACGTCGTCTTTGTGAATTCACCGATTCTCTATGTTTATTAATTGGCACAGCTGGTTGAAAACTGGAAATTTAGGTGATTGCTTATTCTCGTCGGCATCATTTTTTGATTGTGATGACTCAATTGCGATGATAACCTATATATATATATATATATATATATATATGTAAAATATGTGGAAGATGCTTCCGTAATACCTCAAAGTAAAATTTGAGTGGTGGTTTGGATTTTGCATAGGGTTTTTTGATGAATTATTTCTGCAATATTACCTCTGTTTATTTTTTTTATGATAATCATCCCAATTACTTTTGATTTTAGCTTCTTTGTGGATTTTGTTATGTTCAGTTTCATATTTTAACTAAGAGATGTACATCTGAAAGGTTCATCAAAAGCATGACTTCTGTAGAAATCTTCTGATGAAATGAGTAATGGCATGGAACTCAATATGCACATCATTCGATCCGAAAACCCTGCATTGCTGCCAGGACTTCCAGACGACGTCGCACTTTGTTGCTTGGCAAGAGTTCCCCGGTGGTTCCATCCGATCCTCAACTGTGTGTCCAGGAGATGGCGGAAGTTGTTATGTGGTGAGGAATTGCATCAGTACCGGCTTAAGCATCACCTAGAAGAGACTTGGGTTTATGCTTTATGTAGGGACAAGAATGAGCAGCTTTGTATGTATATGTTGGATCCTAACCAACTGAAGAGGGGTTGGAAGCGAATTGATGGCCTCCCGGTTCGCTTCTTCAAGAGAAATGGCGTTGGATTTGAAGTATTGGGTAAGAAAATTTACCTATTTGGAGGCTGTGGTTGGATTGAGCCAGCAACTGATGAGGTGTACTGTTATGATGGTTCGGCTAACATGTGGTCTAGAGGGAGTTCCCTATCCACAGCTAGGTAACATATTTGCTGAAAACTGTCTTGGGATGTTGGATAATTAATGGAAACATATATTTTTATACTTCGGTACATTTTTAGCATTGTTTGCTGGATTTTCTTGCGAAATTTTTTTATTTTTGTTGTTGGAATTTTCATTTATGTAATTCTGATTTCTGTAGAATTAGGAGTGAGGGAAGAAAGAAAACACAAGTATGTCGGCATAATTTGGTCATCAGGTTTATATGCTCAAACCATAGTTGTAGATAGCATCACAGCGTACCATGGAGCCAGGACGAGCGACTGATAAATAAAACCGTTGCCTCAGAATTATGAATATTCTAATAATCATTTGGGTATTCAAATTATGAAAGAATATTAATCCTTGATTGTTGACATTTATCATTGAAGCTAATGTCCTCCCACTCTTCATATGAATTCTTTTATATTCTTATGTTGATTACTCTGATTACAAACAAACAACTTTTCTGAACTAGGAATTTATGTTAAAACCTGGAGATGATCCAAAACCTCTTTGATTTTGCAACTTTTAAGGACTTTGTTACGTTAGTACTAGTTTAAGCTGTCGTCCAGTGTATTGATTTATGTTTATTTCTTGTCTTTGATTGTTAGGTCCTTTTTTGCTTATGAAGCTTTGGATGAGAAAATATATGCCATTGGCGGGATCGGGTCAGAATCTAGTAATCCACAATCTTGGGATATTTACGACAGCCACACCGATCATTGGAGCTCACATGTGGATCCTAATGTCATCCCAGAGATTGAGGATTCTGTAGTCTTGGATGGAAAGATTTACATTCGGTGTGCCATCTCACCTGTATCCTCACATGTGTGCGCCCTTGTATATGACCCATCGAACAGTACCTGGCAGCATGCCAATGCTGACATGGCCAGCGGATGGCGTGGCCCAGCAGTTGTAATAGACGGGATCTTGTACGTGTTGGAGCAAACCTCAGGGTTGAAACTAACTATGTGGCAAGCAGAAGCCAGGGAATGGATAGCATTAAGGCGACTTTCAATGCATCTCGTGACCCCACCCTGTCGACTTGTTGCAATTGGGAAAAAGATCTTGGTTGTTGGTAAGGGACTCGGAACAGTGATGGTTGACATCGAAAATGCAAGCTGTGTTGAAGGCGTTCTGTTAAGTTCTTCCATTTTGAAATTGAATTGTGATTATGAAGTGATAAGCTGTAAATCTCTTTCTGTTTGATTGTCTTCCTGGGATTCTTCGCTTACTCGATGCATTAAATATCAAGTATAAGGAGGAATTGTTCAGAGACCATTTGAAATTACTAATGATGATTTGCACTAGCTACAATGATAGAAAAGATGTGTATCATTTTTTCATTTTGATATATATATGTTTGAATTTAGTGCTCATCTTCTTGTGCTATTGATGCATTGGTTGAATTCATGAGAAAAGCTTAAGCTTTCAATTGCTTGGCATGTCCAGAAAAAGCTTCAAGCTCTCTCCAATGGATAAGGTTAGTGAAGAAACAAGAATTGCATCATTCCCAGGTTGCCAAAATTGGAAAAAAATTGAGGAAATAGTGTTTTTAGCCAGTCACCATGGACGAAGAGTCCAAAGCATTCAATTTTCCAGTTGGGACTGCAAGGCAAGAAAAACACTGGAAATAAGACAGATTTTCCAGTATCTTCTTTCTTGGGATTGTCAGCTTCTTTGGACTGTTTCCAGATCTGAATCAACTTTGTTTGGATGGTCTATCTTTATGCAAAGCTGTCTTTTACTTTTGATCTCTTCACCCAGTGTTTGTAGGATTGCCTCTGAGATTCTGGTGAGCTAATTTCGACTCTCTTTCGCCCATGGAAGATAACAGGCATCAATCCTCTCTTCATAAGGTATTATTTTTCTGACTGGTACTATGTTACTTTTGCATATACAGATGTTTGGAAAGCTGCATCTTCCGATTCGGTTAGAGTGTATCTTCTGGTTGTGTATCTGTTATCTTTTGCAGCAAGAGATTATCGACAGGGAAGGCCCATACCGTCTCCTTTTTTGTTCGGGGAAGGGCGATAAAGCTGGAGTCATGCAGGAGCTCACAAAAGGCGTCAACGCAAATCTGGCAGATTACGATAAAAGAACAGCACTACACTTGGCATCGTGTGAAGGGCGTACGGAGATAGTCGTTCTCCTTCTTCAGAAAGGAGCTGATGTGAACTCCATGGATCGGTGGGGTCGAACTGTGAGTACATACATGCCTTAGTTTTGTTCAGTACAAGCTCAATTTGCCTTGATAACATCACCTGTGCCTCAGTAAAGTCGATGAAAACTAGCATACTATCCAAGGCTCTGTTTCTCATATTTTTTATTCGCGTGAACTTGCTTCCAGAAACTTGATTATCTAAAAATTTAATAGGTCGTATGTTGAAAACCTTGCAGCCACTCTCGGATGCGTGTAGCTTTGGCCATCAGGATATCTGCGAAATTCTGAAAGCACACGGTGGAACTGATCCGGTATATCCATTTCAGCACTGCTACGAACATTTTTCGTGATGGTAGTTGAATACTTGGTCTGCGAGTCGATGATTCTGAGAAATATCTCACTTGTTACAGATGGGAGTTGACTCTCAAACAGAATGCTGTCAGATAGACCCTACAGAAGTAAACATGGAGGAAGCAACTCTCATTGGTGAAGTAATTTTCTCTAAATTTACAAGCCAAGGCTATTTCCTATTAAGCCACCGATTTTCTCTGTTAACAAAGCCTCTCGACGGAAGTCTAGTTTTTTTCTGATGAGAATACTCCCGGTTTTTAAAAGGGCGCTTATGGTGAAGTTTATTTACTCAAGTGGCGTGGTACTGAAGTTGCAGCCAAAACCATTCGGTCTGCCATTGCTTCGAACCCAACAGTGAAGTGAGTTATCCTATCCAAATTCTACTGCTTCTATTCTGACATAGTTACTGGCTCTATTCAGTTACTGCATATCTCGATACTCATTGTGGCTCGGCTCTTCAGGGAAAACTTCCTGAAGGAATTAGCCCTCTGGCAGAAACTGCGCCATCCCAACATAGTTCAGTTCCTCGGCGTTCTTAAGCACCCCGATCGCCTGATCTTGATAACCGAGTACCTACGAAATGTAAGATCCACCTTGGCAATTAGCATTTGTTTCTGAATAAATCTATTAAATGCACTGGAAATTGTAGGGAAGTTTATACGATATACTGAGAAAGAAAGGAAGACTCGACCCCTTGACTGCCGTTGCATATGCTTTGGATATAGCACGGTATGTACGTTGAAATCATTAAGAAGATTATTGGGTTTTCGGGTTTGTGTAAGATTCAAAGTTTCCTGCAGAGGGATGAATTATCTGCATCAACATAAACCTCACTCGATAATCCACCGCGATTTGACACCAAGGTATCGATCCCTGTACTTGCTGCTTGGACATATTCGATAATGCTGCATAATCAAAGGTTTTTTTCCCAGAAATGTGCTGCAGAATGAGGCGGGGCGACTAAAAGTCACGGATTTTGGTCTAAGCAAAATTATACTGGGCAAGAATACCGGATACAAAATGACCGGCGGGACAGGATCGTGTATGAATCATTAGTTGTGATGAGAAAGAAAATTAGTAATCTTCGATTGTTTGTTTCGAAACTCATGAGATGACTCTTTCTGCATACGGCAGATCGCTACATGGCTCCAGAAGTCTACCGGAGAGAATCATACGGACAAAGCGTGGATGTCTTCTCGTTTGCACTAATTCTCCACGAGGTAAATGCAAAACACCATAACTTCGATTTTGAATTATCCAGAGATTGCCTTATGACTTTCTTGCTTTAACGAATGTTCTGTGTATAGATGTTCCAAGGAGGACCCTCGAATACAGACGGAAATCCAGAAAAACTTGCCGACAAACGAGCATACGAGAACTCAAGACCACACCTACCATCCATTGTTTACCCGGGACCGATCAAAAAGTGAGCGCATCAATTTCATCAAGATTATCATTATCGATATCATCAAGATCAGCATTATCATGGTGAGTATGATCAAGATCATCGTCAGTTTGATCTGATCCATGATCTCTGTGGACTGCAGGCTTCTTCAAGATTGCTGGCACAAGAGCCCCGATCAAAGGCCGACGTTCGAAGATATCATCGAGCACTTGGAGCGCATTCAAGAGAGGCTGATGCAGCAGGGGTCGTGCTCCTGCAGTGGCTGTGGCATCTTATGAACAACGCCTTACCTCTTTCAGTTGCCGGCTGCTACTACTATTACTATTACTTTTACTTATATATGTTTTGGAGAAATAAATTTAAATTTAGTAATTTTTAATTTGTATAAAATTAATGTTGAATAAAAATAAATAACCAGGTCTGGGTGGTGTAGTTGGTTATCACGCTAGTCTCACACACTAGAGGTCCCCGGTTCGAACCCGGGCTCAGACATTTTCAAATGCGTTTTTTGATCGGTACTTTTATCCTTTTTACTTTTCACAAATTTACTCATAAAACTAAACCCTAATTCCTAATTTAATTTCACAATCACCAAACACTCCCTCTCTACCGACGACGACCGGAGATCAACATCAGCCACAGGTTTTCGCCACCACAGGCCGATTGCCGGCGTCGTCTTCCTCTCCGACTCCTTTCCCGCCGCCGATTTCTGGCCATGCTCCGATTTCCAAACTGCATTGGTCACAATGTACTGACCATGGAGCAGCAGAGACTTTCATCGTTTTCACCGAAAATAGAAGTCGTGCTTCACAATTCAAAGAAAATGGTGGATGAATTTCGAATTAATTCGAGAAAAAGATGCAATTCGGGTGTGATCAGGTGTTCCGGGAATGAAATAGCTCCGGGAGATAAGTTTGACGATGGATATTATATGAAAAGGTGTGTGGAGCTGGCGAGGAAGGGTGTGGGGTACACCAGCCCTAATCCGATGGTTGGCTGCGTCATTGTGAAGGATGGGAAGGTTGTGGGAGAAGGATTCCACCCCAAACCTGGGCAACCTCATGCTGAGGTAAAGTGGCTTCGTCTTCTCGGTTAAACTTCTGCATTTTGGTTGAAGATTTGAGCTGTGTATATTGCTGATGCAGACTGGATCAATTTGATTAATTCTAAAGTCTTTTACAGTTATAATAATTCAGTTTCACTTGATTGATTGAGTTCCCAACTTTCCCATTGACATATCTGCAATTCAATTAATTTATGATTCGATTAGTTTAGAGTTTAGAATTCTCACTTAGATTGATTGGGTTCCTCAACTTTCCAATTGACATATCTGCGAATCAATTAGTACCATTTCATATTGATGTATGATTCGATTAGTCTCGTCTCAGATTAATATATAACTTGATCCAACATCACCCTAATATCTTCAATTTGAGCTGCAGTGCAGCAGCATCATTTTTACATGAAACTATCTGAATTTGATTGTGAAGTTGTTTTATACTGAATATGACTAGGAAAACTATAGGTTTTTGCATTAAGAGATGCTGGGGATTTGGCTGAGAATGCGACAGCATATGTGACCTTGGAGCCTTGCAATCACTATGGAAGAACTCCACCTTGCACCGAGGCATTAATCGAAGCGAATGTGGCAAATGTGGTTGTTGGAATGGTCGATCCTAATCCCATCGTTGCCTCAACTGGGATAAAAAAACTGCAAGAAGCAGGCATCAATGTAAAGGTTGGGGTTGAGGAAGAAATTTGCAAAAGGCTAAATGAAGCCTACATCCATTGTATGCTGACGGGGAAGCCCTTTCTTACTCTAAGGTAGTATTTCGCCTTTTTTCTTCAGTTATGCTTGATTTGGCTAATTTTTGCTTATTTGACAGATATTCGAAATCTATGGACGGCCGTATGGTAAATAAGGTTGGTGAAGAAGCTGAAATGTGTGGTGGATATTATTCAAAATTATTGCAGGAATACGATGCTGTCATAGTTTCTTCTTCAACGTTGGTTAAGAAATCTTCGATCCCCATTTCTAACGAACCTGGGGCAAATCAACCGCATCTCATCGTGCTTAAAACATCTCCAGATTCCTTAACTCGAATTCCTGCTCTCAGGAATGTTTCTTCTAAATTAACCATAGTATCTGCAAAGGATGCAAGCTCAGAGACACTAACCGATCAAGAAGGGACGCAAATGTTATCTTTGGATCGAATATGTTTACCTGATATTCTTGAACACTGCAAGCTTCAGGGATCATGCAGCGTATTACTTGATTTGATGTGGACAGATGCAGATTTCGACAATATCCTCAAGGAAGGGCTTGAACAAAATTTGTTCCAGAAGGCTATAGTGGAGGTGCTCCCAATTTTCAACGGTCGCCAAGGCCCAAGCTCAAATGATTTAGATACAAAAGTGAAGGCGGTGAAAAGGTCGACATCTGGTGTGTCCGGAAAGAGCGTTCTTCTTGAGGGATATTTCTGAATGATGATATAAGGTACTTTCATTTGCCATTGCCTACATTATTTTAGATGAGTTTTCGTGCTGAAACTTGTTTAAGATGATAGTATTGGCCTATGCTTGCTTGAGTTTATATTATCGTTATTATTTGGTCATTTATGTAGCAATTCGATGATCTATTCTTAAGATAGAATTTATTCAAATATGTGAGAGAACATAGGAAATAGATTTTCAGACCACCGTAGCTAAAGATCTGAACTCCATAGCTCAATAGTAGAGCAAGTTATTTCAATCAATGGGCACTGGTTATCGAACCCGTTTCGAACGCCTTGCCCTTATTAGTTTCCGTCGCAACGACGCACCTTGATAAAATCCTGACCACACATCTTCATCATTTCCCCATCATGCATCCTCCCATTGTACTTCCATTAGTCCCCAATCCTTCTTAGGTACTCCTAAGGCCTCCCACACAGCCCTCGACCCGTCAACGATGTTGTTCGGGCACGGAGGCTGGTAGTCGTGTTCCTCGTCACAACCCATAGTCGAGTCACACTCGTCGATCACCATAGCAGTCACTTTCTTCCCTCTCCCATAAATGGTCACGTTCTGGAAGCACCTCTTCATCTTGTTGAACCATCCCGTCGACATCGCCACAATCGGGATGTTGTCCGAGTGGTAGTGCCCGTCGCACTCTGCAGGCCCCCCTCCGTCCTTACCTTTTTCAAACCCATTCAGAGTCAACACAGCCTTGGTCCTACCAGATTCCTTAGGCGAACATTTGTAGATGTCGTAGTACTTGCCTTCCTCGCAGCATTCCGAATCATTGGATGTGTTGCACTTGTCTTTCGGCGGCTTCTTGCCCTTAATCTTTCCGCTGGACTTGCAGCCAGCTGCATCGACAGATGACAATGCAATCAAAATGTAGAAAGATAGAAATATAAACGAGGAGATGAACACATTCTTCATCTTCTTCGCCCCTTCCCTTCCTTCGCCTCTGCATTCGACGTATAGACGTATTTATACGTCGAAAAACAGTTGTCTATTTACTGATAGGGGATAACGGAAATTTTGTCTGGTTTTTGAATGTGAATCTTGAATTCGTTTTCTTGTGATTTAGTGCAGATTTTGTTGGGACAAGAAGGAACCATTCATTGTGAGGTAATATTATATCTTAAACTTTTGGGAAAGTGACTGCAATGATGAATCTTTATTTGTCTGTTAGGTTAAAGATAGAATGGAGATTCAAGTATTTGTTTTGTAGTTTTATGGTAACGGCGGCTTCGATGGAGATTCTCTTTGTTTAATTACCGCTCTCTACAAAGTAAATCTTGTTTTTGTCACGTGACCTCTCGTTGTAGGTAATTTCCATTTTATATTTTAAAGGCACTATTCATGGGAGGTGGAATGTTACGGTGTTCATTAAGGTGCTGATTTGTTCGTAAAAATGGACATACCTAATATATATTTGGTGGTAGTTATACTTTATAAGTGTGTGCTGTAAGATCATATATGCTAAGATCAATAATAGGACGTATTTGTGTGAAAATATCGTCATATGATGTCGGTTAATATATTATATCTGAATTATATTAATATAATTTTTTTGTTATTGTTATTACTAATCCAAGATCAACAACACATATTCGCATAAGAATATCTCGAATCTAACAAAAACTTAAAGAATCTTTTATTATTACGGAAGCAATCTATTCGGACTCAGTTTTACCCACGTATCAACAAACTGACATCGAATATACATCCAAGACCCAAACCACAAAGACTCGCTACGGAATCGCAACTAACACACAAACCCGAACCCTAATCTACGAAAATACAACGATTTCAAGCCTATTACACCGCGAACAACATATACGTCGCGAGACACAAATAAAGGCACAAATTGAGTAAATCAAACCGTAGAAGCACCGAGGGAAGAGGCGCGCATCAACGGGAAGAGAAACTCCCAAGTCGCCGGACAGATTCACCGGAGAAACACAGAGCGACGATGAAGGAATCGCCTAGGGCACGAGAGAAGAATCGCAAAGAAGGTTCTGTTCTCGTATGTTCTGTATCTGAATGAATTAATCCAATTGAACCGGTTCAAGGCTCCAATATATATATATATATATTAGAGCAGACCTGGTTCAGACCGGTTAAGCCCGGTCTAAAGCCATAAACCGACGGGTCTCTCAGAGATTGGGTCGGACAGTGGGTTGTCGGGTCCGGGCTTCAATTTGAGCGGGTCGGTTGGATTTGTTTTGGATCTTTTTAATTTATTGTCCAAAACTCCACAGTTATGATCTATGATTTATATAATGCCCGTTCATATTTTCATATAACCATAGCCATGGGAAAAGATTAATTACGTCTTTCAAGATTTGGTTTAAGTCTAAACTCTCATAATAATAAAAATTTAAAATGTAATACTAAGTATTCAATATGATGTTTTATATTGCTTTTGTTTTGTTTTGTTTTTAAATGAATAGTGGGAAGGATGGTTCGCTTGTTCATATTGATACATCCATATAACATATCATATAATGTGTGTATATATACACTGTGGTCGTAAAAGATCGTTATTGACGATTTAATCAGAAAAATCTGTCGGAATTGATTCAATAGGAGGGTTCTCTAGCCTCCTCAAGAAAGGATTCGGGTTATCTCGTGATGCTTGAGTGATTAACGTAGCAAGAAGGTAAAAATCAAGACTAATAATGTAAAGAGGAAAGTGCTGAAAAAAGACTGGAATCGGTAAAAAATTAGTAGAAAAAATAGATTGCTGAAAATTGCAAGAAAAAAATTATGAAGGAATAAAAAGAAGAATGCATCCGGAAGAAGTCTGATATATGAATTTTGTTATCTCTAGAATGATTCTTTTTCTTTTAGATAAATCTTATCCCTAAGGGGCTTCGAATTCTCCGGGCAAAAATCCTATCATGTTGACCTTGAAGTCTCCCTCGTAGTGTAAGCCTCGTTCAAGGTTTTGATCGGTGCAATTATGTCTAAACTTGCTTTCGACATCTCATGACAATCGAGTGTTTCAATCATCGGTTCATCCTCGGGAATTGGGTTGTTCCAGGAGCTATAGGAAGTTACTGCTTGATGAAACATTAATCCTTCGTCAATATACGCTTTGACTTCCATTCCTTCTGGGCCTGAAGCTGGTAAAGAATATTTTCACGGTCTAGTTTCGGCCTTCCAATGGCCATCATATTCTGCTCATCTGCCTGCTGCCCCCTATTTGACATTTTTAGTAGAGGCGAATGGCTAGGCGTTGTCTCTGCATCCTCATTTTTTTAATCCTGGTAGGAAATCTTGACCTCTGCTCCTTATGGTTCACAGTCTAGCTTCCATCTTCCGGAACTCTCTCAGGAAAATGTGTATGATGGAGTGTAATTATCACCTGATCCGCTGAGGACATTCGCCAGACCTCTTTGTCTTTTTCGAAACTTATTTTTGCAACTGTGTTTGTAGACGAAAGTCTATTCCATACCGAGTTACTTCTCGGGGGTTTAATCAACCACCCGAATCTTTCAAGTACCGGTTTTTGTGGGCATGTTACCCTGCTACTTTTTTCGGATCCTGTTGTCGACCTGCCGGACCTTGTTGGACGAACTTTGACGGCGTTTATTGGTAAGGAAACGACTTTGTATTAACCTTCATATTAGGTTTCTTGGCCAAGATAAGGCGCCCTTCTTTGATGACTTTTTTCACTGCATTCCTAAATATAATGCAATTCCCAACTTGATGTCCATATAGCACATGCCATTTGCAATATGATTTTCTGATCAGCTCTTCATTTGTCGGAATTTTGTGGCCTTCTTTCAAATGGAGCTCGTTGCCCTTTAGCAGAAATTCAAAAATCTGCTCAGGTTTTGCAATGTTGAAGGAATAAAACACCTTCGGATTTGCTTTCTTCCACCGGGGCGGCTTGAGAGCGGGAAAGTATGGGCCTTCCCCTTTGAGATCTTGGCCCGGAAGGTCTCATCTGATTCATCATCGGCTTTGGCACCTTCTTCCTAGACATAAACATGATGGTTTCTACTCCAAAATTTTTATTTTGGGCCGTTTGAGCCTTTTTCAAGAGCTGTTCGGCCTTCACAACTTTACACGGTAGTTATGATATTCCTGGAGAGCCAATTTCTTATGTAGCTGGTGTCATGTTATCAAGCTCCATATTCAGTTTGCGAACTTGGCACCTGCTTTGGGACCTTATGAAACATTCCAGGAATTGTTCAACTGATTTCTCACCGCGCTAACGCAAATTTGTTATGTCCGATATGGTTACCTCTGGGAAGGGACTGTAAAAGCGTTAGTGGAAGGTCCTTTCCATGTTTGCCCAGGTATGGATGAAATTCGGAGGCAGAAATGTACCAAGAGAAGGCTGCGCCAGTTAAAGACAATGAGAATATGTGGAGTTTGTACCAATTATTCCCAAACTCTCCTCCACATAGAGCCGTAAATTAGCTAACATGTTCGATTGTAGCGAAAGTCTTCCCATGAAAATAGTGAAAACTCGGGGATCTGAGTGTTCCGTGATAATGGATGATCCAATACAATGTAACCTGGAAAGGACCTTTGGTAATGGGGCCTTGCCGGTAGTTGAATGGGATCGCCATAAATTGCGAATCGCATCCTCGATCGCCTGTGGATTTATGAAAGGATGCGGTAGCGGCGCCATCTCTGCCTGCACTCCTGGCTGTTCAAGAGCTGCCTGAACGGACGGCAGATTGTGTAACGCCAACTACAAAAAGGCCTGATGAGTAGGCCCCTGATGCGGGACACGAGCTTGAATACCTTCGGTGGCCTCTGAAGACCGATGTTTGTTGTGGTGGCACATTTCCGGGGTTTGGCATTGCTGTTTTGGTAAGAGATCCATAGGTTTCCTGTTAATCGGAAGCAACAGGGAGTTGACCTTCTCTGGCAGCTCCCTGCTCCCCACGAATTGGGATGACGTTAGGACTGGTACCCTTGGTCCGTATGTCGTTCCAGAAGGTGTTGGAACAAAGCAAGGTGTTGGAGTTACCGTCGTCCATGCCCCCTAGGCAATGAAGGTCCCCTATCCGGCCGTAGGGTTTCCCTGAAGACGTCCTGTCCTCTCCCAACTTCGGGATGTTAAATGGAGTCTTCAAGAGTTATTGCCCTTACCAAAAAGGTGACATTACCGTATTTGAGTGTCTTGGAGGTCGGATTTGCTACAGAATTAATTGAGAGACCTGCAGGAGTTCAAGTCTCTGGCTGGCTGAAACTGACCATTGGGGCTTTGCCTTTTTGAGCTTCTTCCTGAAGCAGTGCAAATTCATTCCAAATGGTCGATTTCAAAACGTCGGTAATGTATCTGAAAAGTTTCAAAGCGGATTCATGGAGGTATGTTTGGATTTCTCCTTGATTTTGCTGCTGAAATACGCTGGAAGGAAGGCTGATGATCTGATCCGGCCTTCCAGCAGCTGCGGATGCCTCGTCCTGCAGAATGACTTTGGGCGCGGGGCGAGATGATGAATCGTCGACGGTTTTTTGTCTTTAGACATCTCTGTAGTTATTGGCAGCGTCAATTTTCTTTTCCGGAGTTACATGGAATATCGCGAGATGTTGGAGTCTCACTAGGCATACCAATTTTGTTATCGATGGCCTAATCGCTTTGGACCTGTCGAAATCGACGTAAATTAAGTTTTTTAGCCTTCTCAAGAAAGTGTCCAGGTCGATCTCGCTACAACAATCGATATAAGAACAAAGTCAAACAATATCAAAATGCAAAATATAAAATTGTAGCTAATCCGAGACGGTAAAAGTGAACGACGCTAACTACTATTCGTGGAAAATATGAAGAGGAAAAGAAAATTGAACTTTGATTGAAATGGATAATTGCAGCACAAGGAAGAATAAGAATTGGAATAAAAAAATGCAGTAATAATAAAAGTAAGCAGTAAATTTCTTTGATGAATAATCGTACTCCCCTTTTTCTCTCTCTTGCTTTTAATATATTTTCTCAGATTTGGTAATTTCTCACACACATCATATACCAATTTTCAGTAATTACTTTCGGATAATATTTTCATTGGATCATGGACTGGACTACAGACTATCTCTTGGGCCGTGTAAGTTTATTAATTTTTTTTTGGAGTAATTACAAATGCTCACAAAAAAAATTTCGGGTAAAATTTATCTTGCAGACCAAATATTTTTATTTAGAATTTCATAACTCCCGCAAGCTTTTCCAAGTATATTCTTCATGGTTGTTTATTTGTTTCATATATGCCGTCACCTTTTCAATTTTCAGTATATCTTTAAAATCAATTTCTTTTATAAAATAAGCTCGTTACCCAAGATCATCATCATTGTTCACTTTTTGGTTCCCAAAGGTTGTATGTATAATTGCTTTCACACGCCACCTTCTCTTT